TGGTCTAACGTGGGCCGTCTGACGTCCCCCTCACGGGTCTAACGTGGACCGTCTGACGTCCCCCTCAGGGGTCTAACGTGGACCGTCTGACGTCCCCCTCAGGGGTCTAACGTGGCCCGTCTTACTTCCCCCTCAGGGGTCTAACGTGGCCCGTCTGACGTCCCTCTCAGCGGTCTAACGTGGACCGTCTGAATTTCCCCTCAGGGGTCTAACGTGGACCGTCTAAAGTCCCCCTCAGGGGTCTAACGTGGCCCGTCTGACGTCCCCCTCAGGGGTCTAACGTCGACCGTCTGAAGTCCCCCTCAGGGGTCTAACGTGGCCAGTCTGACGTCCCCCTCAGGGGTCTAACGTGGCCCGTCTGAAGTCCCCCTCAGTGGTCTAACGTGGGCCGTCTGACGTCCCCCTCACGGGTCTAACGTGGACCGTCTGACGTCCCCCTCAGGGGTCTAACGTGGACCGTCTGAAATCCCCCTCAGGGGTCTAACGTGGCCCGTCTGACGTCCCCCTCAGGGGTCTAACGTGGCCACGTCTGACGTCCCCCTCAGGGGTCTAACGTGGACCGTCTGAAGTCCCCCTCAGGGGTCTAACGTGGCCCGTCTGACGTCCCCCTCACGGGTCTAACGTGGCCCGTCTGACGTTCCCCTCAGGGGTCTAACGTGGCCCGTCTGACGTCCCCCTCAGGGGTCTAACGGAGACCGTCTGACGTCCCCCTCAGGGGTCTAACGTGGCCCGTCTGACGTCCCCCTCACGGGTCTAACGTGGCCCGTCTGACGTCCCCCTCACGGGTCTAACGTGGACCGTCTTACATCTCAGGCCGTTGCAGCCTGGGCTGAGGCACCAAGAGACGTCTTTGTGACTCAGTTGCAGCTCACCCAACCTGACCCCCCCCAGTCTGCAGCTGCAGGACTGACTAAGGATTCCTGCCCTGCTGACAGATTCATATCAGTCACATGAGAAGCTCTGTGCTGAGTCTCACTGGATCCCTAACGTTGGGGGCGGAGCTTCTTTGTGGCTTCATGCAGGTATTTCCAGTTTGACAACACCAGCTGGTTTGAGGTCCTGAATGCGACAGACGCCCAAAGTGAATCACGTCCAACTGCTTCTACTAAACGATACGGATGGCGGCTCAGGTAGCCTCACCTCCACAGGCAACATCTAAGAAGGTTTTCTTTGAACATCAAAGTGAAGAAAAAGCCACTAGAACAAACAAACAAAGAAACAAACAATAACCTGCATCTAAGAAAACAGAAAACATTTATCAGCAGTAGATTAATAAAAAAACATAAACTTTGTTTCTTTTGATGGTCGAAGCTTTCCGGTGAAATCAGAAATGTCTTAAAGCAGAAACAAATGTTTGGACTTTATTTGAAATTCAAAACATCTCCGTCAGGAAACCTCTTTGAATATTACAAAGCTGCTTCTCCACTGACCAATAGGAGGTCCTCAGGTGAACAGGTCCTCAGGTGAACAGGTCCTCAGGTAACCAGGTCACCAAATAAAACGATTAAATAAGCTTGTTGGTGATTAAAGGCATTCAGGCCAGGTGTGCCTGCCTGCCTGCTTTAAACCCTGATTCCAGAACCGGAAGCGGCTGCATCCCAGATGATTACGTCACCGAGCTTGAATCAAACGATGCTTACAGAGAAATAAAAAGACAAGAATCGCTGTTAATTGGCCGGTTCGGTTCGGTCCGGTCCGGTCCGGTTCGGCCTCGGAGGCAGACCGAGCAGAGCTGCTTGGCCCTCTGATTGTCCACAGGTGGAAAAGCAGCGAGGAAACAGCCACTCACCTTTAAACAGGTAATCATATTCGTCCTCTTTGTGCGTCATTCTTTCTCTGCTTGAAGTCCAACAAACTTCAGTCCCTTAAAGCACCGATTCCGGATCAGGACTTCAGACTCGGTCTGTTTTAAATTAGTACCGTTAGAGTCCAAAGAAGGACCTGGAAGCCTGGAAAACTGATCAATAAAAAAACCACAAGACAACAAACTTCAGCGCCTTCTTCCTCTTCTTCCGACACTTGTCATGATCAGACCTGCGACGTAACGTCAACATCAAGCCCCGCCCCTTGCCCGCTCCTATTGGCCAATTGTTACTTCCGTGTTCTCACTTACCTTAACCTGATAGGTCGGCTAGGCTGTCGGTACTGAGTCAGGTGCCGGGGTGCCAACTTGTATGACGTCGCGAAGCAACAGGTATGGTATGGCAAGTAAAGTTGTCATATAATAATGAGAAATTAAAATTAATTCATATTCTAGATGATTTTACTCCTTATATCAATGGTACATGACTTCCGTTTTTATTAAAAACGAACCTTGATACATCTAAAACTGCAAGAAAAGTATAAAAAAAATTATAAAACCAAGAAACATTTAAAACACAAACAAAAAACACAAACAAGGAACAATATCTATTGGAATACAATGAAAAACAAATGGGAATCAATTTAACTTGGTTATACCACCAAACTTCACCTCTTGTCTCAGGTCTTTATAGACTATATAGATAATCTCTTATCTTTATACATCCAGATCAACCAGATCACCTTTAACCACTTTATAGATCCAGATCAACCAGATCATCTCGGGTGACCTGATAGATCCATTTGCATGTGTGCTAAGCCTAAACAAGGCTTTGCTTTTAGTCCACTCTATAAAGCCTGGAACTCAACACTATTTCTGACATTTTGAATTTTAAAGGCTTCCTGGATGGGAAATGTCTTTAAACCTGGAGAAAAAGTTTTATAACTATGACTATGCCTTGGATGACTGAGAATCTTCATTAGCATATATTCTCAGATCACATTATAGAACCCGATCAATCAGATCATCTCAGGTCACTCTATAGATCCAGATCAACCAGATAACATTTGGTCACTTTATAGATGCAGATAAAATAGATAATATCTGTTATCTTTATAGTCCATCCATCTATCCATCCATTATATGACACGCTTGTCCTGAGTGGGGTGGCGAGGGGTGCTGGTGCCTCCAGCAATCGATGGGCGAGAGGCGGGGTCCACCCTGGACACGTCGCCTGTCCATCACAGGGTTAGGGAGTCATCAATTCCAATTCCAAGGTATTTATATTTATGTTCCACCTCAGTGACATTCCTCTCCAGAGTGGAAACTGCTGGACGGGTTTGAGGCACCTTCCTATTAATCGAAAACAACATTAACTTTGTTTGGTCAGGATTAAGAAACAATTAAAGACTAATAAATGAATACTGTACTGAAACAAAGGCTTTCTGTAAGGAATGAATAGCCTGTTGAAGAGACGACCCAAAGCAATAAATAATGGTATCATCAGCATAAAAATGCATATTAGCATCAGGGAAATGTTGTTTAACATTGTTGATGTACAAGATAAATAAGAGGGGGCCCAAAACAGAACCTTGTGGAACAAAAATGCAGAACAAAGCCCCTCACATGTTATACAGAGTGGATAAATGACAGTGAGTTTGTTGAAGCAGGTGGATGATGACATCATCAACTCCATCTCCACAGCGATAAGAAACTGCACATATGCTGGATGATGATGGGGATTTTTTTTATCGTTTCAAATTAAATGAATCTTTCATTTTATAATAATAATAATAATATTGCGCATGCTCTCCTAGAGCTCCAGGGAAGTTGGAGCGGAGAAGGTGGGAGGAACAGTGGAGGATGTAGGCTTTACGCAGGCGGTCTGGCCGGGGGGGCCGGGGGCGGCAGAGCAGTGACAGAGGATGTGGGATCTCGGGGTACGGTTGTAGAGGTTCTGTAGAATCACACAGAGCTGCTCTGCTCAGGCCTTCAGGACTCTGACTCCATCAGGACCTGCTGACTGATCACCACCCAGTCTCTCCAGTTGCCTCTTTACTGACTTCTAGAGACAGACCGGTGGAAGGTGGAGGGAGCAGCACCACCTGCTGGTCTGGCTGATAATAAATTAATAGAAACAGGAGAGTGAATGTCAGAGGAGAGCAGGATGTCCATGTGATTGTGGGCAGGAGAGAAAGATGCTGAACTGAATGGAGAATGTTGAAGAATGGATTTAGTTCAGTGACTCTGTCCAGATTTCCATCTGTCTGATCATCCTTCTGCTTCAAGCTTCTTCATCTCTGACCACATATCACTGATATCAGTGCTAGGACCAATTCTCTTTACTTTATACATGCTCCCAATCGGTAGAGTTATTAGACAGCATGGGATTAATTTCCACTGTTATGCTGATGATACCCAGCTATATCTGTCTATAATCCAGATGAAGCTAACCCATTACATAGATTACAGGCATGTCTGAAGACAGAAAAACCTGGATGACTCTTAACTTTCTGCTTCTGAATGCAGACAAAACAGAAGTTATAGTCTTTGGACCAGAGTCTCTGAAAAAGAAGCTGATTAGTCAGTCACTTCATCTGGATGGGATTAAACTGATTTCAGATAATAAAGTAAAAAATCTTGGTGTTATTTTTGATCAGGACCTGTCATTTAAATCCCAGATCAAAGAGGTTTCTAGAATTTCTTTCTTTCATCTGAGGAACATTGCAAAAATGAGCAATCTCCTGTCCAGGGGTGATGCTGAGAAACTAGTCCATGCATTTGTTACTTCAAGGCTGGACTATTGTAATTCTTTACTATCAGGAAGTCCACAAACTGTAGTTAAAAGCCTTCAGCTGATCCAAAATGCTGCAGCCAGAGTTCTGATGAAAATGAAAAAGAGAGATCATATCTCTCCTATCCTGGCTTCTCTTCATTGGCTTCCTGTTAAATCCAGAATAGAATTTAAAATCCTCCTTCTCACATATAAAGCCTTAAATGGCCAAGCTCCATCTGATATCAGAGATCTGATTGTTCCTTATGTTCCTAACAGAGCACTTCGCTCTCAATCTGCAGGTTTACTAGTGGTTCCTAGAACTTCTAAAAGTAGAATGGGAGGCCGATCTTTTAGTTCTCAGGCTCCTCTCCTGTGGAACCAACTACCAGTTTTAGTCCGTGAGGCAGACACCCTGTCTACTTTTAAGGCTAGGCTTAAAACTTTCCTTTTTGATAAAGCTTCTAGTTAGAGTGGCTCAGGTTATCCTGATCTATCTCTATAGTTCTGCTGCTATAGGCTTAGACTGCTGGAGGACATAGGGACCCCTTTTTCATCATTCTGCTTCATTCTATCTCTATTCTCCCACTCTGCAGAATCTGTTAGTTCAATCTCTAACGTTCTGCTCTCTCTGCTTTTTCTCATAGTAGCTTCATCTGGTCTGTTCCTGTTTGGCTGTGACTCCATCCTGGAGAGAAATATCAGCTGTGCTGCTGCCATCAACACCTTTGTTTCTAGATGCTGGAGGTCAGATGGAAGCGGCGCTGCCTGATGTTTAACCACAGACTAACGTTGCTGCCACCAGAGCTGTTCACTCATTATCACCTTCTGGGTGTTTATCTGCTCACCATTGTGCACACTGCTTCTTGTAGAACATTTTCTGCTCATTTTTTAGATTCGCTTTGTTTTGTTTGTTCCTTCATTCAGCTGGAGAGTTTATGATCTGGTTCGTGCAGCAGATCCTAGCATAGAGCCACACAGAACAGAAACCAGCCTAAAGTCCCTGGGCTCCACCTGGATGCTGCTTTCTCTCTTTGCTCCCCAGCAGAGATATCCGACCAGTAAAGCTGATGTTGGGGATCCAGCTGCATTCAGCCTGACAGGTCCGCTGCAGCGATCCAAAATCTGCAGTCACAGTTGAATACTGTCCATCTTTATGCTTTGGTTCTATGTTTCCCTCCAGTTCAGCATCACATGGGACTCAGCAGGAGTTCAACCCAAAATAAACTACAGAAACCTGAAGAACAGGAACCGTTACATAAAACAGACTCAGTCTTTAGATTTTACTGCAGGAGGATTTTCACTAATTTTTGAAAAGTCCCGCCCTCTCCACTTAAAAAAGAAAATGCACATGATGATCATTGCTTTTTGCTCCGTTGGTCACGTAACTCCTCCTCCACCGCGTGTTGCCTGCGCCATCTTTGTTTTTGGGCGCCGCTGTCATGTAGCGACAGCCTATGGCAACCGCCGGCCGATGTGACTGCAAATCCCAGAATGCTTCGCGAGGAGAGCTCTCAGTGCAAAGCATTCTGGGATATATCTGCCTCTACTGAGGCCTTTCTTTTCTTCTCATCCACTTCGTAGACACTTTTTCTCTTTCGACCGTCGGCCATTTTCAAAGAACCGCGGTGAGAAAGGTGAGCTTCAGTGACCGTCTGAAACCGTAGCTCACCACAGATCTACGCCTGAAAGAAAAAGATGGCTAACGGGACGAGCGCGTAGGACGGCCTGATGCAAACATATGAACAGAATGATTGACAGTTAGGAGGACCACTGATTGAGATGATCCACCTGGAAATAAAAGATCCTCCTTTATTCCTTTAACTCCAATTATTAAATATTTTTTCAGTTTATTATCATGTTGCTAAAAGTCGACTGTTTTATTCACTAACAGAAGCAGCTAAGCTGGGGCTCCGTCTGCAGCTCGACTCCGTTAAATATTATCCCTCGGCTCCCGTCTCCAAACAGCCGCACTTAAAAAACTACATTTAATAATAATGAAGTGAAATCAGATTCATTTCTTCTCACACTCTTTGGTTAGAAGATCAAAATAATCATCAGCCTGCAGGAATATTTATTTCTCAGCAAAAAACAAAGACTTTAATGATTGAGCTTACGGAGGTTAGCTTACAGCACTCATCATCATAATCAGACTCTATGTGAACATTTCTTTATTCAGGCATCAGCTTTGCTCCAAGGTTTCCATGCTTCCTTCCAGTTTGGATGAAGCTGGACGTTAGTTTCCAGAAACATCCTTCATATTCAGGCTTTGAAATGCAGACATGAGTCATTAGAAAGCCAAACCACAGCCCGTATGTTTAGGAGCATGAAGTCTCCATGTCAGCTGCCATCTTCTCCCCGGCATCAGAGGGGGGGTCCTGGTGGGTTCAGATGTTCCTGCAGCAGGGCTTCTTCTCCTCCTCATCCTCTGGTCTGGAGCTGTTCAGGGTCACCGCCTTTATGGATCCTCGGATCACTTCTTTGCTGCTCACCTTCTTGTGAATCTCTGTGTGTCAAAAGAATCAAATCTTCAATATTGACAGAGTGGATGTGTGGAGCAGATGTGAGCAGTCAGTGTGCTGTGAATAGTAGACATCAGATGAAGTAGGTTCAGTTTGGAGAGACAGAGAGAGGAGGGACAGCTGAACGGACCTGAAACATCTATTGGCTGGACATAGAAACAACTGTTCTAGATCAGCTGATTACTCAGGTTTTGATTGTTATAACAGTTTCCCTTCTTTTAGTCAGAGAGGCTAACAGCTGCCTTAGCTAGGTTTACACTGTGGGAGCGAACAATATGAAGTCTTTACCAAGAAGTCTAGCAGCTGCCTGCTGTCAGTCGCTCTGAATGGGAGGAAACTATTAGATCAGCTCTGTTATCATACAGGAGGAGGCGGTCCGGCCGCTTCCTTCACGAATGGGAGGAGACTCTTAGATCAGCTCTGTTATCATACAGGAGGAGGCGGTCCGGCCGCTTCCTTCACGAATGGGAGGAGACTCTTAGATCAGCTCTGTTATCATACAGGAGGAGGCGGTCCGGCCGCTTCCTTCATGAATGGGAGGAAACTCTCAGATCAGCTCTGTTATCATACAGGAGGAGGCGGTCCGGCCGCTTCCTTCATGAATGGGAGGAAACTCTCAGATCAGCTCTGTTAT